CAGGCTCCGCTTGGGTCGAGAACTGGACAGAAACTCATGAGCCTTGCTGGAGTCCAGACTGAGCGCTCCTGCACACACACACACACACACACACACACTCCTTCATTTCTACACACTCTTCAGAGACGTCAGTGTTGGTAAAGCTGCTCACCATCCGGGCTGAGGATCTCCATCAGGGATTTCGCCTCCAGCTGACCTGAGAACAGTTGCACACACAGTTGAGCTTCAGAGAAACACACAGACACTGCAGATACTGAAGAAGAGCAGAAACTGACCGCAGATCAGCAGCAGGACGGACAGCATACACACCGCAGACATCATGACCTCTGACCCTCACACACACACACACTCGTCATTAAGCGCGCTCTGCTTCTGAGGATGATCTGTCGGTGATGAATGGACAGGTAAGAGTTCTGTGCGCGCTCACCTCTGCTCTACCGTTTCAGCCCTGAGCGCAGAGCCGCCTATATAAGCTGAGCTCCGCCCTCTATCTGTCAATCACTCCATCTCGGCCGACTATTGGTCAGATGCGCGCTAGAACACGCCCCCTGTCAGGTTTATCGCAGGAGTGAAGGGCGCTGCTGCTGATCGAGTAATGTTCTGTCGACAGTTTCGCGTGTGAATCTCTCAGCTCTCATTAGTGAGCTCCTGTCGCCGGAATATTGTCGGTTTAGTTGAGAACAGATGTTTCCCGCCGAGCTGGACCTGTAAAAGCCGCCAATAAAGCTGAGTGTGCAGACGCGGCGCATTCCAGAGCACACATCTGCGTTTATGCCTGAGGAGGAGACCTCCAACAGCTCCACAGCACCGTCCTCATCCGCTATAGTGCCACTGTACAGGAGGTTCATGAGGAACGCTGCAGGGCACATGTCAGACGGAGCAGATTATCCAGCAGTTCTGCTTTGAGCTTTAGGGAACGCTTCTACTCTTTACTAGCCGCAGATCGTGTCCGTAAATGACGCTTAACGAACACATTGCTGCTACAAAACATCTACAAACAGCTACACAAATAAAATAAAATAATACATTATTCCATATGAATTCATAAGCTTTAACATGGTCCAAAAATAAAGGTGTGATTGTGAGAAATGATCATTTAAACCGGAGATGATCCAAAAGATCAATTATTCTGATTTATTATTTAACTTTTATTTTTTCCTTTTCATATAATATTGTGTTTCTGGAGAAAGATGTCACAGAACAGACATGTTAAATATAAATTAACAGATTTATTTTCAGATATTCATTATTCCTATCGCTTAATTAGTTCATTCATGAACCCTGCGGTTGCTGTGCTCCTTGCCAACGCAAGATTCGTCCAATTAGGCGTCGCTCTGTTCCGATGCTGGCCAATCATAGTCCAATCGGACAAAGTCATCAGCCAATCATTGTTCAGAATCAGCGCGCTTTACCTGACTAGTTATAAGTGAGGAATTTCGCGCTCTTTGTTACAAATCAATATTTGTACGCGACTGTTTAAACGGAAAACTACAGCGATTAATATCGATCAATACCTGGAAATCTGCCGAGCCGCCACTGACTGCTTCTGAGGTGAGAGCCCGAGGATCGAGTCTGAGGTAAATATAACGCCACCGGTTCTGAGGAAACTCTTCTCAGCCTCCTCGTGTTGGGTTATCGGGTTATTGCGGCTCAGGTGTGACGGTAATATTTAATAAAACTGCATTTACTGTGGATTCGCCAATGACGTGACATTCAGCACCAGTGAAGTGAAACATTAGCCTGATTATAGGAACTATGAGGACTGAAATATGACCACACTCGTCATTGTCACTGAGAATTTCGTCAGGTCATAAGTTATTCATTTTTTATTAAGAAATTGCCTGAACCCGGGTCATTAATCTCCGTACATAACGTAAATAGGAAATATTATCCACAGGAGAGAAACATAAAACTTTAACCACAGTCTGAGTTTGCTCAGTCCCCTGTATTCTTGACTAGTCCCCTCAGTGTAATATTAACACCTCCCCTCAGTGTAGTATTGA